AATATGATTTCATTTCATAATCAAAAGTCGGGATGTCATGTTCCGATACAGATCATAAAGCATAAACGATAGCATTACAAGTCTTTCAACAAATATATACATATACAGACTTGTAAACAAAACAACTTGATGTTCGCCCATCTTAAGCTCTTGCGCCACTTCCTGTAAAATAATTCAACTGAGTGGGTCAGGCTTGGGAGCCTGGTGAGCATGTAGGGTTTTCAACCCACAATAAATAATTAAATTAATTATTATCAACCAACAATAACCCAGTTACCCATTCCCGTTATTCTCACTTTATGTCCCTAAAATAACTAACACAAGGGACCTAGTCTAAGAATATTTCATCGGGGCGACTACACATGCTTGGGGTTCCTCAGCAATATAAGTCAAATAAGGCAACCATGGGGGGATGGAATACAGCGAATGAACACCCAAGTTCATTAACACCTACAGGTTATGAGCCTGCTAGCGTTCCACTGGACTATCTAGAAAAGTCCGTGGTCGTCATCTAAATTCCGCTAGATGACTGGATCAAAACAACATCGAGGCCTCTCATCTGTTTATTACACACCAACTATCTACCCATATTCTACCCAACATATTAGTAGATAAAATATACATTTTTATACGTAGTTTCAAAACCTGTATAGCATGCTCAATCAAAACATTTTTCACATAACAGATGAGGCATACACACATAACACGTATTTCATAGAGAATACTTCAGATCTATAAGATAGAAGAGAGTGAATATACACTCACACGTATAACAACCAAATATATACACATAACACGTATTTTATAGGAAATACTTCCTAATATTGTGTTGGAATGAAAGTAACTACACACTCACCTGATCAGAAGATGATCGGGCAACACTACGGCTTGCAGAAGAGGTGTTTCTCCGTAGATCTGGAAGATCTTCACAAAACCGGGATCCTCGCGGGCAGCGTTTCGGCTCGGGAATAACGCTCTTCGGGATTCTCGGGGCTTCGGATCTTGCTTCGGGGCTCGGGAATATTACCGGGGCTTTGGGGTATAAACGGCACGCAAAACGAGGCAAAACTTAGAGAGAAAGAAGAGTTTGAACAAGAGAAAATGGCTGAATTCGAGTTCTATTTATAGGCTGCTGGGTCTGGGATTACGCGGGGCGTACTCAAATTACGCGGGGAGTACTCAGTACGCGGGGCGTACTCAGTACGTGGGGCGTACTCGGGTTACGCGGGGCGTACTTTGACGTCACTGCGTGCGTCGACTGGTGGCACTCGAGTATTGGGCAGACAAGTTGCAACCGACTGAGTACGCGGGGCGTACTCAAATTACGCGGGGCGTAATTGACTTGTCAAACTTCTAAATTGCGTAACTTTCGCATACGAGCTCCGTTTTCGACGTTCTTTATATCCACGCGAAGGTCAGACCGTACTCTACAACCTTCATTTAGACTCCGTCGGCTAATTTTGACTTTTATTTTTATTATTTATTTTTAGAAGGCCGGGACAGAAAAACTTCGTTATAAATTCATAACTTCTTCGTCTGACGTCCGTTCTCGCCTAACTTTTCATTGCTTCGCTACTAACAACTAGATCTTCGATTCTCATTTAGATTGTTTCAGCTAAAAACCGTTTGATCTCAAATCGAGTATTCGGGCTGCATACTGCCACGTCGAAAATTCAGAAAATCATAACTTCCTCATACGAAGTCAGATTTGGGCGTTCCTTTTATGCATGCTCTCGGTTTAACGAAATCTACGACTTTCGTTTAGATCACTAAGGCTAAATATCGCTCTATCTTAAATTCATATTTTACGTCACTCAGCGTCGTACCGGTTCTGTCGCGAAACTTCGACAGGTCATAACTTCTTCGTTATAACTCGGATTTTGGCATTCCTTATTTCTCCGGAATCCTTGTTTCGACCACTACAACTTTATGCAAAGATTTCGGGCTTATCTCACACTTAAATTTTGACGCTTATTTTATTCTTAATTTATTAAATTATAAAAATTAAGAAAATACACACATAAATCACATAATTCAAATAATTCACAAATAATACATTCTTATTATTTCAAGTTGAGTTACAAGGTTAACCTAGACTATTATATTGCTAAAAATGGCAAGCCTAGAAACACGGGCGTTACAATATTAATGCTTTAATTTATGTTATGAATGCAGGAAAAATATAAAATATTTCATCCATATTCTTGATGTGCAACATGTACTGCAAATGGACAACTTCATGGAGGTGTGTAATTGAGTAACTTGTACATATAAATTACTTAATTTCATGATAATATGATATTTAAAGACAACATATACAGGATGGTGTATGGGTTTGTTCTTCATATTATGGAATTGCAAATGCTGATCCACTTAAAGATTTTGTTGAGCATCTAGTTCATGAGAAAACACAAATAACATGAAAGATGTTCTCTGTTTTTGCAATGTCTTCATGGATTCAGATGTACATGTGTCAGAATATGTCATAAATTTAATTTGTTCTTTATGATATGCTTTGAATGCATATATCTTTTGGTTGTTCAGGTATCAGAAGCAAAGATGGTGTGGGTTGATCGATTAGGGCTTGACATACATCTGTATTCTCCCCCAAAATGATGTCTTTGAGGTCCGGATTCCTTTCCCTAGAGAAGTTACAGACAAGAAAGGGACAAAATGGTCTTTTAATGGTATGTCCCAGACAACATGGGAAGTTGAAAAAAATTACCATACCCTACAATTTGAGAAAGTAAAACAATTGAAGAAAATAGCCTCCAATGGACAATGATTACAAGTTTCTTGATTTTGAGCATACCATTTTGTAAGATGAGTTATATTTTTATTAATCAATAAGGAAAAGACAGTATGTTTTATATACATATACGTAAATAGCAAATATGTACATGATTATGTTAGGAAAAAAAGCCATGGAAGATCAAGTTGTTGGTGAGAATCATGAAGTTGTTCAATATTTGCTTCATAGATTTTGAATCCTACAGAGTTCATTGCTGACATTGTCATTGAACACGAGTGAGATTCCTAAATAACTTACCATTTCAAATATGTACATGATTATGTTAGGAAAAAAGCCATGAAAGACGTAAATGACCATTTTAACCCTTCAAGAAACTTACAAAATGTATTGATTAGGTATGTTGAGTGCACATCATCAGCAATGCAAGCACGAAATACTCGCAACATAAAAGAAAAGAGATAGAAGGTTTCCTCACATGTGCAAGTGGATACTTAGAGAAAATACAAAAGCAAGATAGGTCACGGTTTGTTTTTTTCATTAAAATCAACTTTTTTCTAGTTTTTAACAGATGGGAGAATTTGATAGAGTGTGGGTACCGGGAAAAAAAAAAAGATATAGTTTTTTCCGTAATTAAATTAGAATGTAGTGTATATGGATTATAGTGTTTGAATTATGTGATTCACAGGTGAATCACATGTGATTCACATGTAAATCAAATATAAATCACATATGAATTACATGTGCTTCACATGTAATTCACGTATGAATCACATTCATACGTAAATCACAAGTGAATAACATATGAATTATATATGAATTACATGTGATTCATATGTAAATCACATATGAATCACGTGTAAATCACATGTAATTTACATGTGAATCACATCTGATTCACATGTAAATCACGTATAAATCATATATGAATTATATGTGATTCACATGTAAATCACATGTAATTCACATATGAATCACATTCACATGGAAATCACAAGTGAATCACATATGAATTACATGTGATTCACATGTAATTCACATATGAATCACATTCACATGGAAATCACAAGTGAATCACATATGAATTACATGTGATTCATATGTAATTCACATGTAATTTACATATAATCACATGTGATTTACATGTGAATGTGATTCATATGTGATTTACATGTGAATCACATATAAATTCACATGTAAATCACATGTAATTTACATATGAATTACATGAGATTCACATATAAATCATATGTAATTCACGTATGAATCTTAAAAGAAAAAATAACATAGGAATATTGTATTATATAATCACAGGTGAATTTTATATGATATATACATATGTATTTTTGTAAATGTTCTTGCATGAATCATTTGTTTTTTTAAAATTTTCTTGTAGACTGGAAGATTTTGTGGAAAATATTGAAGAGGTGAAAAGTGATAAATTGAAGAAAATATGAAAATCTTGACATGAAGAGATGAAAACACCTTGAAAATATGTAGCATTTTTTGTTTTTTATATCTTATTTTGTATTTTGAATATACTTTGACTATTGTGTTTATAGATTAGTAAATAAAAATATTTTTTTAGGATTTACTTATAAATATTATACTATAAAAAATATGCATATATGCACTTGAACAATATGAATATATGCACTTAAAATTTTGAATTTTTTTGTTGAAAAACTTTAGCTTTTTTTCTTAAATATTCCAGTTTTTTTTAAAACTTACTAATTTTTTAAATTTTATTGTTTTTAAAAAATTGCATTTTTTTCAAAAAAAATATTCAGTTTTTTTTTAGTTTCATGTTTTCTAAATAAAAAAAAAAATCTACATATTTTTAAAAAATTCGAAAATTTTTTTTTTTTTTTAAATCCAAAATTTTGATTTATTATGAAAATTTTTAGACATTTTAATTAATATTTCCAATATCACAAAAAATCAAACATTAAATAAGATTGGTAAGATGATGATCATACCCTTAATGAGTTAATTTTGATCTAACGCTCCACATTTAATTCTTGGGTTCTCGGGAAACTATGAATTTTTAACGGATCTCAACTTTATATATATATATATATATATATATATATATATATATATATATATATATATATATATATATATATATATATATATAGAGAGAGAGAGAGAGAGAGAGAGGTGGTTTGGAAAAATGATGGTTTTATTCCATTTCTAAATCAAATTAAAACGTCATAAAAATCTAGATAAAACATCTCTCTCTCTCTCTCTCTCTCTCTCTCTCTCTCTCTCTCTCTCTCTCTCTCTCTCTCTCACATATGATGCCGTTCAGTGACTTATTCGTTTGATTGGTTTCTGTAACATGGTAAGGAGTGTTCATGAAGGTCTTTAATTATATGATGTATATCATCCATGCTTTCTCTATACTTGTAATTAAGAAGAAGAAAAAAGATCAAAGAACATGATCTTCATCTTTGGCTTAATTTCGTAAATATACAGCATCGTTCATGTATTATATAGCTTAATTAAACAATTTTGATGAGTTATAGTAGTTTTTTTATCTAGTTGCACTTTAGAAACTTTTTTTCTTTTTTTCTTTTTTTTTTTTGTGCTCTTCCTGCAGTTCCTTAACCACCAACAGTGATTTGGTTGTTTACAATTAACTATTTATTTATTATGGTTAATTCTCTCTCTCTCTCTCTCTCTCTCTCTCTCTCTCTCTCTATATATATATATATATATATATATATATATATATATATATATATCATATGATCTTCTCACCTGCTTAAGTTCTATTATGTAGTAGCCTTTTCTTTCATAGAAAAAGTAGCTGCATAAAGGTAATTCTTTTGCGTTTAAGGTCAGTTGACTTCAGTTCAATTGTTTAGGGGCTGCTAATGCAACTAGAATCTAACATCATATCGGCAAGAAAATTGGAAGGGGTTGAAGAAGGAAGATTATTGCTCGAAAAAAGGAAGTAGGGTTCAAGCACACACCAAAAGCCAGGCGTAAGTTGATCTGAATCATTTCCTATTTGACAACTTATTCTGGACGTGAAATACTTCTGAAAATAAATTGTCCTATTGTTCATCCCCTTCACTTTATTCATTCTTTATCTACTTATTATTTGATTTGATCAATTCTAAACACTTGCGTAGGAGACTAAATCTGACGTCTCATAATTATTATTCAAAAGTTTCAAAGAAACTATACTAAGGGATTTACTACAAAATTGATGCTTCCGTTATTAGAATTTATGCAAGTAGATGAAAGACTATAAATATTGAATTCAAATTCATAACTACTAAATTAAGTATGATACTCAGGGTAGGTGCAGTTTACTATTAAGTAAAAAAGAAGACATATATATCGTTCTAATTCTTTATATATGTGTGTTTTAAAATGCCACTGGAATTTATATTAAAGCTTAAATTTCCTACATGGCTTGTTAATTATTGCATAAAATTATCAGTTTTGTTTTCTAAAATACCTTGATTCATGTTTTCTGCTTCTTTCTTTTCCCATCTGCTACCTTATATAATGTGTACACCACATTTTATGCCTAACTTTTTCTTAATTACATATTTCAGAAACACGTCTTTAGAACCTGGACGTAGTTGTTCTATATAGATCATACAGACGTGAATAATGTCAGGAGATTTCGATACACTAGAGAGTAATGAAGAACCTAGTTTTGATCAATATGGAGGAAACACATCATCTAATTCTTCCATGAATAAGCAAGTTACATCATTTGATTTGAATGAAGAAGCAAGTAGCCAAGAAGATATTGATCTATGTTTTGAAGAAGACCAAAAGATTGAAGAAGGAAGTTCATCGAAGAACAGAAAGGGTCGGGTTAGACAATATGTGCGTTCTAAGATGCCTAGACTTCGTTGGACTCCTGAACTCCATCATGCTTTTGTTAATGCTATTGAAAGGCTTGGTGGACAAGAAAGTAAGTTATTCTCTAAGTCTTTCTTTGTCTCGATATAATAATCATACGTATTTAAACATAATTAATGATATCTTTTGGTGAAAATATGAAAAGTTTTTGGCTTAACTGCAGAAGCAACTCCCAAGTCTGTTCTTCATCTAATGAATGTGAGAGGACTAAGTATCGCTCATGTGAAAAGTCATTTGCAGGTAACTAAATTCAACAATATCATTAAAAGCTTAGCATTCTCCAATTGTTCTCCTGATTTTGATCAATTTATAATACGCTTTCAATGGCAGATGTATAGAAGCAAGAAGCTTGATGATTCTGGACAAGGTAAGACATGATCTTCGATATAGGAAAAGACAACATTAAGGAAAAAAAATACTAGTGTATATATATACTTTATACTAATATATATGACAGCTTAAGAGGCTACTAGAAACCTTACATATATAGAACAAAGATAATTAATCTTTCTCATTAACATCTTGGCATGTGACAAAAGTTAAGTTTTAAAAAAAACTTTTTTGCAATGTGTCTAGTTTTCAATACCATTTAATTGTGACCTAAACCTGTTTGAACCAATAAATGGGTAAAATTGCTGTTAAATTTAGTCAAATTTAATAGTTCATGTACAACCTTAACAATAAATCGGCAAAATGTTGTAATTATCCTACAAATTAAAGTAATTAACAATGTGCGTGAAGCATTTAGAAAAAAAAATGTTGCGATTCTAATGGGACGAGAAAGTTTTTTTAATTAAAATTAAATGAATAAAATCCTATTTGTTATCTACCACAGAAACGCTGATAACAAAATAATTAAATCGCTCTAAAAAAAATTGAGATATCGTTTGATATATATTAGAGCTTTTTTGGTAATTCTAGTAGCAAATGGTTACAACATATGCAATTAGAGCAACATTAAATAATAAATATCGTTGTAGAGCAATTTAAAGGTCTATAGTTGCAATGTTCTAGCAAATTAAAGTTTTTATATTTTACTATAAAAAAAACATGACATGAAAACCTGTAATGTGGTGAATTACATACTGAAGCGGAAGAATATATTTTGACAACCTTCAATTTTAATTAATAATTATGTTGCTTCTGCAGTATTATCTCAGAGGGCTACACAAACGATACAAGGAAGACCACATATTTATAGCAATTTGTACTCAAGAGGTACTCCCTTCCAACATTTGAAACTAGCAAATGGTGGGATTGTTCTACCAAGCAATTTACAAGAGGGTGATGATCACTGCAGAAGTCATCTTCATGATTCTGGTTTTCGACCTACACGTGGCATCCATCATTTCTTATCGAGGTATATATGCCAAATGGAAACTTAATTATTTTGAGTATTTTCAACCTCAGTCAACTCAATGAAACGTAACACTTGGAATTTTTGTTCCTATATATGTCACGCATGTATAGTAATACTCACTTTTTTCATTTCATGACATGTTTTATATTTCATGTGTGTTTATTTCTTTCTCTCTAAAGGCACCAAATATGGCTATCTAATCAAATTCAAGGGTCTTCACCGATGAGAAGAGAGTTTGGAGATGGGAAGAAAATGATGAAAGATATTTTGAATCATATGCCAGAAAAGCCTTCTGATGCAAACAAATTCCATGGAACTATGAGATCTAGCCAACTTCTTGAGGAGAAGAAGTGGCCACATGATCAAAGAAAAGATAAATGGTTACCTATAACAACCATTTGCACCAACAGTTCCACCTCCGATCCTTTCGGTCTTTCTCAATGTCAACAGTATTACAGAGAGAGAGCAAGGATGCCTCATTCTCCATCAGCTTTCAATGATTCATCACCATTATTGAATGCACAATCGAAAGCCGCATTTCTACTTGAGGTATCATTCTCTCTTGGCTGATGATTACTTGTTATGTTAGGATTCAATTAGTTCTAACAAGTTTCCTCATGCGCAAATCATGTTTTCTTCAGTTAAAACAAGATAAAGGGTGGAAGGATAAGGAAAGGAAGGCAGATTTGAAGCTTAGTTTGAGCCAAAACGAAGATGTAGATGAAGAGAAGAATCATCAAAGGAGTACTCCTGAAATCAACACTATGCTATCGCTTTCTTTGAAGGAGACAAAAACCAACCTAGAGTGAGTTAAATAGTTTATATATAAACGTATGTAACAGGAGGCTAGATTGAGACGAGTACTTAAGATCTGATTAAGCGCATGGATAGGCGGCGTAGGAGCTAGTGAGATCTTCTAAGTACTTGTTTTCAAAAGCTATTATTTACATGGTTTTTTCGATCCCATATGACAAGGAAATATTTCGGCTGTAGTTGTACGTATTGACATGTAAAATGGACAAGGTTATAGTGTAGCTACTTTAGTAAGAACTGGTAGATCATAATCAATCCAGTAATTAACTGTTCTTTGCGAAGATGTATAGCATGCAGCCATGCATATTGTTTATTATCAAGTAGATAATGTTCCTTAATTAGCTTTTCATTGTTTGAATATCTATGATTTATGGATCATGGGAGATGTTAATTTTCATTTCTATCCATAATATTGGAGGGGTAACTCATGCACGCAAAATATGCTTTAACATGAAAGTTTTCATTCTACCAAATATTTCAATAGTACAATTGTATACTATATATATATATGAAATGAAGTCATTAACAAAAACAGAATAACATGTCATATACAAAAAATCTAAAAAGATATATATAATATACAAAAAAGGTGGTCCGCGTATATAAACTTAAAAATAAGTACAAAAACATAGAAATCTTCCATGTAGAACTTGTACATGTTATCATTTGTCAAACCGTTGCAGCATCGTTTAAGGGTTGACAGGCAATGAAAGTAAGAAGATATAATTTATTATTTCAACCAACCAAATTATATTATAAATAACAAATAGGGAGATGCTACCCCACAAAATTAAAAAGTTTTAAGTTAAGTGGGGGGTTTTTAAGTTTATCTTAAGTTAACGACTGTTATTTTGATTTTGTTTGTTTACTAGTAAAGAAGCAAAATCTTGTTTGTTTATTTTTAAGATAAACTTAAGAGCCCCCACTTAATTAGATGAGAAACCAGAGTTTGCCATGATTTTGAGGTGGAAGAGTAATAATAGTTTTTTTTACAACACTAACTTAAATAGCCTCGTGGTCTACTTAGGGGGGGGTGGTATATTCTATATGTGGCCTATATATGGAGTTTCATGGACACTACCTTGCACGTGTAGCGAACTGAAGCATGTGTTTAGGGATCATCAAATATCCAATGAAGTTGTAATGTCTAAAATTAACTTGTCTCCAGGCTATCTTTCCTTCTGCTTATAACCAGTGGAGGCCTTTTTTTCCTCTATTAATTTCTTGTTCATGAAATAAAAAAATGCTTAAATGGGCCAAAATGGGATAGAAATTAAATTCACATTCTGAATATTCTGTATCTACATGATGGAATTTTGGAGACAATTGGAATAAAATGAATATAGAAGGCTAGAATCTACGTGTTTCTCAGAAGAATGTATTAGTCTTGATAGTCTTTTTGAGGTGGAAGAATAATGATAATATATAGTCTGGCTAGTCTTTTTAATGTGATTGGCTTTGTTTATTTGTCACACAGGTTTAGTGGTTGATTGCCTAATGCTCTTATTTCTTATTTCTTGTAGTGCTTGTACGCTACGTACTTATGTAAAAAATTCTCTAATTTAATTTGCTAATCGTTTCTAATTAAAAATAAACATCGACTTAATGACAACATGATCGATACAGATAGATAGATGTATTCAACCAAGTAAAGTGGTGTAAGTTTTAGCAGAATTAATGGACTTAGTTGAAAATGCAATTAAGTTGACAAATTAAAGTTACAAAACCCTAGCTACCCTCTCCCTATTTATCTATACTTGTACACACCCCACCACCTTTAGGAAATAACTTCAAGCCTTGATCAACCTTGATTTCACCCCAAATCAATTTACCTAGGCGTATAAAAAAATAATCATTACAGAAGAATCATTATATTCATCACTAAAACTCGCAGTTTTTAACGCGGGCCACATAAAAATACCAACCAATTAAAGAAACAAATACACATTTCGATAAGTCTTCCATTTTGGGTACGTTTATCTTTAGAAAGCTCAACATGCAAGATGGTGAACAGATTTAAAAATTAATAATAAAAGAAAAGAGAAAGAAACAAAAGAGAAATATAGATGAATAAATTAAGTATTCCTAAGTTTGACAATATCAAACCGAAGTAAATTCAATTTATGACTTTAACAAACGAGCGTCCAGCTGGAATCTTGAAAATAGGTGAGAGTTTAAGATCATCACGTCCACAATTAAGAATAAGAAGGGAAAACGATTAAAAGTTAGGTTAGGCAGCTCGTAATTCGCATGTGGTGGTTGGTTCACTGTTGACAGTTACACCAAAGAGACAACCATTTTAAGTTCACATGCATTATATAATTATTTACGGCTTCAATCTTGACCGGAAGTTGCTATAGTTAAGGAATTATGGCTTTTGATATTTTGGCATTATATTGCGTACAATAAAGTCGGAACTATTTCGTGAATAGACTAGCACCCTAAAATTCAAGCATGTGGGATTTGAAAAAAAAAAAATGTATGTTAATTAATACTTCGTGAAATGAATATGGTTTCACAAATTATAACGACAGAGCACCCTAAAATTCAAGCATGTGGGATTTGACAAAAAAAAAATGTATGTTAATTACTTCATGATGAAATGAATATGGTTTCATAAATTATATTATCTAAAGAACGGAACCTAAGTGGGCATGTATATAGAGAAATTAAGAAAGGGCCATATTACCAGAGGAACGGATCATGATTTTTCTCCTAGCTCTTCAATTTCTTTAAGGAATCATTAACAAGATTATAAGGCCTTATGTTATGAGTTAATGCATGAACATGAAATGGAGAAAGGTTTCTTTAAATTGATTAACTAACTCAGAAGTAATTACATATATACATAACTAGCTGAACAAAAAGAAAATAACTAACTGTACAAGCAAAATTACTAAAATACCCATAACTAACTTTAATTAACAAGAATTCTAGTGATCTGATAACGTGGCTACCCCCCCCCCCCCCTTTTTTTCTCAAGTTGGTGGGCAGTGAACCAAACTAAGCTTGGTTAGAGCTTAGAATGTTGATACCCTGGGAGTTGATTCGTAAACATATCAGCCCATTGTTCCATCGTAGAAACATGAGACAAATTAATCACTCCAGCTTGAACTTGTTCTCGAACAAAATGGAAATCGAGTTCAATATGTTTAGTGCGCTAATGGAAAACATGATTAGACACAATATGAATAGCAGCCCTGTTGTCACATTTGAGAGGAATAGAAGTGATATTTGGCACATTAAGTTCAGCAAGTAATCTACTCAGCCAAGATAATTCTGCACATATGCATCTCATTGATCGATATCAGGTATCGGAAGAAGATAAAGAAACAATCACTTGTTTCTTGGATTTCCATTAGATAGGTGTTCCACCAAAAAATGATGTAATAGCTAGGGATAGATCTACGTGCAATAGGACAAGCCACCCAATCGGAGTCACAATAAGCTTCAAGCTTAAAATTTGAAGTATAATTGAAATAGATAGCTTGATAAATTGTCCCTTTTAGATACTTCAAAACATGTAATGCAGCATTGTAATGAGCTTGAGAAGGAGTTTTGTTAAATTGACTTAAATGTTGGATAGGAAATGCAAGATCGGGACGTGTGTGCAACAAGAAGCTGAGTCTTCCAACAAGTTGTTGATAAACTATAGGATCTTACAAAGGATCATCCATGATAGGTAAGAGTTTTAATTGAGCAAAAGGAGGTGTAGATGAATGCTTTGAATCATTGAGATCATAAACATGTAATAGTTCCTTAATAAATTTGCTTTGATAGACAATCATACCCCTATTAACTTTAGTGAACTCAAGCCCAAGAAAAAAATCAAGCAGCCCTAAATCTTTTATTTGAAATCGATCATGAAGAAAAGTCTTGAGTTTAGCAATCTCATCATTGTCATTCCCAGTGACTAACACATCATCAGCATATATAGCGACAGTGATAAGACTTTTGTCTATTTTCTTTAAGAACAAATAATGATCATGTGGGGAATGAGAGTATCCTCGAGTGTGTAAAGCAAAAGACAATTTTGCATACCATTGTCTAGATGTTTGATTTAAACCATAAAGTGACTTGTTAAGATGACAAACTAGGGATGGGGAAGAAAGCATATGACCCAGAGGAAGACGCATGTAAATCTCAATGTAAAAATCTGTTGTTCACATCAAAATGATGTATGTCCCATTTGTTCTTAACAGCTAATGCAATGATGCGTCTGACAGTGGTAGATTTCACAACTGGAGAAGACGTTTCATAGTACACTATATCCTCGAGTGTGTGGGGAATGAGAGTATCCTCGAGTGTGTAAAGCAAAAGACAATTTTGCATACCATTGTCTAGATGTTTGATTTAAACCATAAAGTGACTTGTTAAGATGACAAACTAGGGATGGGGAAGAAAGCATATGACCCAGAGGAAGACGCATGTAAATCTCAATGTAAAAATCTGTTGTTCACATCAAAATGATGTATGTCCCATTTGTTCTTAACAGCTAATGCAATGATGCGTCTGACAGTGGTAGATTTCACAACTGGAGAAGACGTTTCATAGTACACTATATCCTCTTGTTGATTGAATCTCTTGGCCACCAAACAAGCTCTATACAACTCAACAGAACCATATGCTTGATATTTGACTTTGTATACCTAACGACATGCAACCGGCTTCTTCCCTTTTGGAATCTTTACAATCTCACATGTGTGTTTTTTAGTGATGCCATTCAATTCTGCTTGCATGGCATGTTCCCATTCAGGAATGCCTTTTACATGATGCTAAAATGCTGGCTACAAATAAACATTAGAAGCATATGAAGAAGAAGAAACATGAGCTACAAAGTTAGAAGAATCATCATGGAACATTTCATCAATATGAAAATTGTTGATAATATGATGGCATGTGGTATGATCTATAACATCCCTGTTTGGGTGTCAAACCAACAAATGATGGGATAAAATAATATTAATATAACTCAAATCACTGCTTTTTCTAATACTAAAGATAGTATAGAGTAAGCAGGGTCGATCCACAGAGATACGGGACTTTTTATCTTGCCATATTTTCACACATAATACAAGTAATATTGAAGTGGGGGTTTGTATTTAAACTTGAATTAAACTTCATAAATAAGAAAGATTGAAAACAAACGCAGTAAAAGAAGTACATTTCCGATTCTGACTCTTATATATGTATTATGTTGAAAGATGTAATATGATTATAACTCATGTTCAATCTAGGTTGGTAAGTTGGATATTAATAAACTCTAAGATCCAAATTGGCAAAAATATTTTATTCAAAATAAGCTCTTTAAATAAAATTTCATTT